TTCCAAAGTTGGGAGATAGATACAACGTTCTTCACGGTTGCATGATTGATGGAGGAAAAGCTTGTTGCCATGCAGACCAAATCCTTAACAAAAATTTCGTCGTCCTTCTCGGGACTCAAAGCTGTTGTCATTCCCTTAACATTCGTGCAGTCCCTCTTCAAAAAAGGCGGTAAGGCGGAGGGATCACAAAAGGCCAAATGATTACTCATCTCTGGGCCGGTCAACGGAGCCTTTAATGGCATCCGGTCGCAATACATGACACCCCTAGATGCTAACACATGGCCTACATCAAACAACTCTGAGAAACCCGCCGATGATTCCGGAAACCTACCCGCTGGAATCCACCGTTTAGAAATCTTCGGATATTGAAAGTTTTGAATTTTTGAAACTTGAATTTCCGGTATTTGCTACAAGAACAACTCCTTGGAAACTGACGATTAGCCTTACCACTGGAAGAAGAAGCTCTGGTCACTTTCATCTTCTTCAGAAGTTCACTTGACCCATCCTGCTGTTTTCCAGCTGGATAATTCTTTAAAGAATCTTGAACCAATCTCGACATGGAAGAGGTGCCATCATCATTTCATGTTCGCAATCGCAAAGAGGTCATCAGCAACACTCAAGCACACTTTTTTGGAATAAGCATTCCAGGGTAACCCCAAATCTTGATAAGCACAAATTTGCATATCGGATTCAAAAAGAATCCCAGTACACCCCAAAATTACCAATCACCTATTTGATTATGGACAAGTTCCAAGCATTTAACAGATCACGGTTTAATCCAAAATGTATCCTTTTGGAGAAAGGAACCATGATCTGTGGGTTTCCAATGATCTAAAGAAAGTAAACTACCCCGACCTCTACAAAACCTATGAGATAGGGCTCTCCGTACCTCTTCCTTCGACCGTAGTTTAAAGACTATTTTATTGGAACCAATAATCTTAACATCGGGAAGATAAGAAAGATTCTAACTTCCCTGAGCCCAATCAAATAAGCCAAAAAACCGGTTAAAGGAGGTGAAAAAGAGCCAATTACAAAAAGGTATGATTTAATATCAAGTTGCTCCCACACAACCCGATCTACAACTACCTTAGCACATGAACAACCCATAAAAACCCCATTCTCAGCCATACTCATAACATCAATTTTCACATCCAAAACCTTCTTCCAATCCATCCCATCCAACCCATCAACTATTCCATTCATCACCAATCCAGTCTGCACCTTTCCAAACAGAACCTTCACACAACTTAGAACACAGAAGAGAGAGAGAGAGGTGAGAAGAGAGAGGAAGGACTTCTAAGAAGAGAGAGAGTAAGATGGCTTCCTCATTGCAGCTCTGAATCAACCCCCTAATAGCTCTTTTAATTCTAAAAAAAACTAAAGACTACCAAGAACTTGTAATTCATAGAGCATGAACATTAGCCATGAGAAAAATACTGCTTTAATTGCATAGAATTGATTTTCAGATTGCTCAAATATGACGGGAAGACGAGATTTACTTAGTCCTTCAATGTAGTTTGACCCATTCCATTTGTTAGTTCTAAGACTTCTCGCTAAGACTTCTCAATCTAATTTCTCTAACTAAAGTTTCTAAGCCCTTGGAAATAAAGGTTCATGGTTTTATATACAAGGTTCAGGAAATATGGATAGAAAATTAATAATCTAGCTTATAGAAGGGTGAATTTCGATAAAAAATGAGTTGGAAAATATCATATATTTTACCCTTGGACAGCTTCTATACCAAATTGCTTGGCATAACAATCACATGTGATGAAGAGATGATAAGGTCTGTCGCTATCAACTTTCATTTTGCACTTTTTGAGTGGAGGTGACCTCATTTTTCGAGATTCTTTTTGTTGATTGGTCGAGAAGTCAGCTTTGTTCATGTCCGTCATGATTTCAAGTCGGATGCTGATCTTCTTGCTAAGCTTTTTTTTTTTCTTTTTTTTATACTCTTTTTTCCTTTGTTCTTTCTTTTTATTTGTTTTCTCTTTTGATCTTTGTACTGTTTCCTTCATTATCTCAATGAAAAGGATCCAAGGTTGAGTCGGCTTTTCCCTTGTGGCCACTTGTGGGTGGTTTCTGGCCCTTCTCTATCAACTCAAGGACAATGGACTTAGGCACGTCCATTTTCCATTTAGTTAATGGACGACAGAGATTACTGCCACTGTGGTCCATCACATACCCAATTAGACTGGTGTATAGTATCACTACGCAGCACTTTCCATGGTCGGCGTGAAAACCACCCACGATATTTGTCGCAGCCTAACATTGCATCTCATCTTTCAACTTCAATATTTTGAGCACCTTAAACGATATTAAACTCCCACTGAAGTATAATGTCTATTTACTCCCTTAGGCAAATTCTATATAAGATTAATTTTTGACCCAAATTTCGGGGATATAAGTTGTTCAACTCATAGATAAACTCCAATAAAAATATTTTCTAATTGCACCCTCTACAAACTTGAAAACAATAATGTCTTAAGATGGAATAAAGGCCGTTCAATTTTTAGAGAACGAGATCTAATTGTTAGAAGGGAAGGGTTTTTATGTTTCCCTATAACATAGAAGATCTATGCTTCCCCTATCATCCAACCGTCCAATTTTGTTCCAGAGAGCCACTCACCATTTGATCTTAGATCCGACGTCTCAAAGTTTTTATTTTTTTATACAAATTGTATGAATATGAAATTTGGTACGTGCCATCTTCTCATTAAGATGTACCTACAAAAAATATTTAAAATAATTTTTCGATAAAATATAATGACCACAACACCCCTTGAAACTTTTAGGGGTATTTTGGTTATTTTATTTTATTGAAAATATTGTTTTTATATTTTTCGATAGTGCAAGTTTAATAGAGGATAAAATTCGGTGTCAAAATAGTTTATAAAAAATTAACAATTCAATGGTGTAGATATGTGACATTGTGATTGGGACAATCTTAGCCCTCCATTCAGAATGGAGGGTTGTACAAAAGGAAGTATATAAGTGTTATGTTGTAGGGGAAGCAAAGAAAACTTGTCCTTGTTAGAAAAATCAAATTTCAATTTTTTTTATTTTGAGAATAATCATATAGTAAGTCTTAGGTGTTTCTAAGATCCTCCCAAGTAGGTCTCTTGACCAAAGAATTAAATGTAAACTATGCTTCTACGTGTACAAGTGCCCTGGCAATTCATAAGTATGTCAAGAGCATGTGTATTTATACTACTTTCGAGAGCATAGTCTGCTTCTACTCCCTCAGATTAAGGACTTACCCATGAGTTTTTTTAGTCTAAAATTTTGGGAACTACTTAAGAATTACTATTTTACTATTTTAAAAAAGGAAAATTGAAATTTGACTGTTTTGATGCTAAGATCTCACCATGATGGTCTCTATTCAATCTCGATATATTCATTTTTTTTTAGAAAAATTATGTAAATATCTATTTTAGTTTTTGTTATTACCAAAATACCAAATACTTTTCCGTTATTACTGATATGTCCATTTTTTGATATTCATAACAAATTTTTTTTAAAAAGACAAAAGTACCCAATTTCACTTTTTCAAAAAATAAAACCTAATTTTTTTAAAGTTTTTTAAAAATGGTTTTTTTTTTTTGAACTCTCTCCCCTTCATCAGCGTCTTTTTTTGGTAAGTTTCGCCTCACGTTTTGAGAGAGGAATTCGGCCTGGTTTTGATATTCTCATAGCTTTAAGAGCTTGAATTGACGAGATATCTCCTTTTGAATGTAGGGCATCATGGGCTGGGTCATCAACACACTGAAGCTCTCCATTCTCCTCTTATGTATACAAGCCAAAACTGAGTAATATTGAGAGGGCCAATCGAAACCAATCGGAGTATAGAAGGTCTGTAATGGTATTTTGCAGCTGCAAATTCACCTTTGAACCAGGCCAAGAGAGCATCGTTGGGAGCAAAAGTGTTGGGAAATTGAATTGGGGCAGGATTGGGTGGTTGCAAAAGTGTTGGGAGATTGAGTTGGGGCGGGGATTGGATGGTTGAGGAAGGGCAGGAGTTCGATGGTTGGTGCCATTAATGGAGGAAAGAGAGAGATAAGATTGGGGTGTGAGAGAGAGGAAGGGAAGCCATTAAAGGTATGGGTTGAGATCTCATTTGCCCATCATAGATGGAGAGAGAGATGTTTCTTTCTGAATTTTCAATGGCAAAGGATAGAAATTACATAGGAGATGTCATTTTTGCATTTAGATAGAGAGAGAGACATAGGGAATCCAGATAGTGCCGAAATATGTAGTTCTAATGTCGCAAATTATCTATGAAAATCTATCTGGAAATTTACTTATGGACTGGTTAAATTTAAGAGATAGAGGAGAGAGAGGGAAAAAAAATTGAAAATTCGATTTTTGAACTTGATTAGTCGGTAGAGAGAGATGAAAGAAATTTTTTTTGATTGAAAATTTAAAATTTTCAGTTTTTAAAAAATCGAAATTGGACTGATTTCGGTTTTTGAAAAACAAAAAATGAGTAGTTTCATTATTATTATTTTTTTAATTGTTATGAAGTCCAAAAACCAAATATATTAGTAATAACGAAAAGTATTCGGTATTTTGGTAATAACAGAAACTAAAACAGATAATCACATAATTTTATTCTTTTCAAGTGTATAGATAGGATGATTTAAAAATATTTTTTTATCGACATTAACTTAATGAATTGAAAATGTTATGTTTAATAAAATGAGTAATGATTCGGTAATCTAAAAGTATCACTATTAAAGTTGACACGAATCTCAACAAAAGTAATTACATGGGTATAGGATTTGACTTTTTTATAGATCCGTACTAAATTTAATGTTGATCCTTTAGGGTCGGAGGGTCCTATAGAATCATTTCTCTTATAAAATTTAGGCTCTAAAATTAATTTTAAGTGGACATTTGTACTCCCGCGGGAGTATACTATCCTTTAGCTTTCATGAAACTTCCCCCCTTAATGTTTTAGCGCTCCTCCCAGGATAAGAGAGAGAGAGAGATGAAGAGGACGCACCAATGAGCTCTCTCTGGAGAGAGAGAAACGGAGGCATGCAAGCACTTGCCTCTCCCTCTCTTTGGCCCTGCTGCGAACATTTGCAGGGCACAAAAAGGTACTGGAGAGCACGGGCAAACAATTCAGTCTTCGCTCTCTACTCTCCTTGGAGGCCCACATTGCGGTGGGCGAGAGCGCTTAGCAACTTCCTTCACTCATCCTCTCCCTCTCCACTTTCTGCTGTTGGCGAGAGCACTTATCCTCTCAACAAGCCATTCTCCGGTGATGACGAGGAAGATGATGAAGCTGCTGAAGAATATGATGAAGCTGCTGAAGAATATAAGGCAATCTACAATGATGATGAAGTGTTAACCAGGGCTTCTGAAGAAGAAGATGATGATGATGAGGAGGAGGAGTTGGAAGGAGAAGATGATTTTGATGTCAAGGAAGATGAGGAAGTCTCCGGGTTTGTCTCCAAATCTCCATTGTCAAGATTTGGAGAGCACAAGTGGCAGAGAGTCGAGAAGCTGCGTTCTAGAGCTCGGGAATTCGGGGCGGATATCATTGATTTGGAGGATATCATCTCCATCTATGACTTTCCAATTGATAAGTTTCAGGTCTGTTTTAGTCTCTCTGTTGTATCGCATTTAGTCTAAGAGGACTTATTGGGGTGTTTGTTTGATTAAGAAAGGGCATATTGTCTTCTATTTGCTAGCGTTGTTGCATTGTGAAGGTTTTGCTGCTTTTCCAATATGAATGCTCTCTGCTTCAATCCCTTTCTCTCTCTATATTCCTTGTGCGTGTGTGGTATATATGCTAAAATGACTCAATGTAGTGGTTCTCAGCTACAATAATGAAAGAAGCACATCCTAATTCTTGTCTTTGTATGCACATCAGTGTTGCCGGGCAGCGCCTAGGTGGCCGGGGGTCCTGGATACCCAGCTCCTAGGTGGCCCCCCAGAACTTGGGTGGCCCAGCCAGAATAAGAAGCTAATCCAACTGTGAATGCATTCTGAGACATGTAACACATTAAAAATACATAATATATAGTCCATCCGTAGTCCATTACTACAGGGAGAGAATAAAACCAGAAAAGCAACAATAAAAAAAAGAAAAGAAAGGTTAAGAGACTATACCCTCTCTTAAAGGTCTACAAGGGAATCCACCCCAAAACAATCTCTTCACGAAGACCAAATTCTATTCAATTTATTCACTGATTTACCATGAAGGGAAATCTCCCTTAAATAGACTAAAAAAAATATAAACACTTTCCTATTTTATCTCTCTTCCCTATTTTCTCTTTTTTAACCTATCCCCATCTCTTAACCTCATGTACCTATTTTCTCTCTCTTGTTTTATCCAAAGCCACTAAAAAGATTTGCTTCCCCTGTTTTCATCCAAAGCTTTCCTATTGCTTCCCACATTTTTATCCAAAGTCTTCCTATTGTTGAAAAGATAAAACTCCCTTAGATTTAACCTTATCTTCTTTATATTCCAAACTAACCAACCCAATCAATCAATATCAAACACAGGATAAAGTCATACCTACCTAATTATCCTTGCGCACTCCTTAAACAAAAGAATAAATAAAATAACTCTAATAATCCCCCTTATTACATCGTTGCCCTTTCTTCCTTCTACGACCGTTCTTGGCCTAGCCACGAACTATTTGTTGGGGCACGACTACATCATTCTCCCCCAATTGAAAGGAACTCACCTTCAACGAGCTGGCTTCAGTATGGATGCGGTATAAGTCTGGATCCACCCTTTTGAACTCTTGCTCAGAAATCCACATGCCAGAGTATGGCCTGCCCTTCCATTTGACTAGATATTGGTGATAGGAACCTTTTCGAGTTTGAAAGCTTTTAGTCTTCAAAACTTGTTCAATTTCCTCAGCTTTTTTTCTCCATAATTGCTTTATCATATCAATTACTTCTTCTTCAATTTCTAGAGGATCTCCATGAAACTCAAATAAGTCAGCAACATTAAATATCGGGGAGATATCCAAATGCCTTTGGTAATTCCACCTTATATTCATTGTTCCCATATTGCTTCAAAATGCGGCAAGGGCCCACCTTCTTGGACTTGAGTTTATTATAGGTTCCTAATGGAAACATCTCATTTTGTAAATACACCATTACTAAGTCATTCTCCTTGAAACTTTTCTCTCTTTTATGCTCATTTGAGGCTTTTCGATACTTTACATTGCTTTCCTCAATTTTATTCTTGATTTGAGCTTGCAAATCTCGAATATGCTCAGCAAAAGTATTGACATCGTCACTTATCTTTCCTGGCATGGGTAATGGCATTAGGTCCAGCACATGATTAGGAGTCTGCCCATTAACAATCTCAAATGGTGATTTTTCCGTAGATCGATTCACTAAACTGTTGTATGCAGTGATTTAAAAATAGGTGAGTCACAACGGACTCGCCCGAGTCGGCACGGGAATCGGTTATCCTGTGCTGATTCCACTGTAACACCAAGAAACGCCCGGTTCTAGAACGAACCTGCCGGTTCTGCACAGTAAACTACCTTGTATGACGTCATAAACGGGTGAAAGTCATCCGTATGACGTCACATAGCGAGTCACAGCGAGTTCACAGGTGGCAAAATACCGATTTTCCACAAGTTCACACGTGGATGACTACCATCACCCGCCGGCTGCGTGTGGATGGCAACCTCGGGCACACGCGCGCAAACGTTTATGAACTTACAAAGCTATTTATAGAAGCGAAACTAAAGCTCACTGTTGGATGTGAGATAATTCCCACGGTGCGTTAAATTACGATGAAATTTGGATAAGTATTATTAATGTAGATAACTATTACACTTGCGTTGATGGCGGAGTGATTATCACTTCGTTGGTAGAGCCTTTACGTCTCAAGTTTGATTCAGCCTCGATTCCGCCTTGGACACATTTTATTTTATTTTTGTTGACAATAAAAATAAGTAGAAAATAACTTTTTTTTAAAAAAAAATTATTTTTTTTGAAATCTCTCTTTTTCTATTAACAATCTTTTTTATTAAATTTATTCTATAAATCTAAAAAATTATATTTTTTTTAAAGAAATTTATTCCATTTGAAATCTCTCTCTTTCTATTAACAATCTCTTTTACTAAATTTACTCTAGAAATCTAAAAACTTAAAATTTTGAAAAATTAAAGTGTTCTTTTGAAAATTGGTATGCATTCTAATAATTTCTAACCAAATTTTTATTTTATTTATTAAATTTTTTATTATAAATCATGTAATTTATTATCTTTCTTACAGTTCTCAATAATACATTTTGAATTAGATCGTATTACAAAATATTTTAGATTTGTTATTATTTGTATAATAAAATAATTATAAAATTTAAACCAACAATTTTAATTTTAGCATATAATATTATAGTTAGTTAGGTTGTAATAAATTTGGATTATAGTTAGTTAGTTTGTAATAATTTGGGTATTTTTAGGGGATTAGGGCTTTCCGCCAATTTGAGATTTTGACGGCCATTTTTTATTGATTAAATCTAACTCTTTATAATAGTCCATGTATGATTATATATTTTATCCATGATAATTTTATGATTTTTCTTATGTGTGATGTAAATTTAATGGTTAACATAAGTTTATACAGAGAAAAAACATATCAATATTCACAAATTGATGAAAACAGTGAAAGTTAACAATAGAGTACCTCCATTTCTTATTGGATTCCTAAAAGACAATATTTATAATTAATTTTAATAATTTTTTTGGATTTTTTTAGAGTTTAATCCAATCGAGTCGGTCCATTCCCGATCCGGATCGCCGATTCACCAATCTAGATGGGTTTTTGAAGTGCCTGATCCGGGGCACCGATTCGTTTTTTAAATCACTAGTTGTATGTAAACTCAGCCTGGGGCAAAGCGAGGTCCCACTGAGATATGTTATCACCAACAATACTCCTCAAGAGGTTACCAAGGCTCCTATTCACTATTTCGGTCTGCCCATCTATTTGAGGATGATAAGCCCTAGAAAATTGAAGTTTAGTTCCCATACATTTCCATAAAGTGTGCCAAAAATGACTTAAGAATTTTGTATCCCTATCAGATGTAATAGACTTAGGAGCACCATGTAGCCTTACAATATCTTTGAAAAAGAAATTGGCAATATGTGTAGCGTCCATAGTTCTCCTACAAGGAATGACACATTAATTGATCAACATCAACAAATGGTACGTGGAAGTCCAAGTACAAAGTCCATAGAGATATCAACCCATGTGGCATCTGGAACAGCAAGAGCAGTATCAAGACTTGTATTTTGTGTGTGACCTTTAGAGACTTGGCAAGTTCGATATGGGTCACAAATTGATCAAAATCCCTTCGCATATGTGGCCAAAAATACTTTTCTCCAACCATACCTATAGTTTTGTCCCTTCCAAAATGGCCACCTAAGCCCCCACCATGAAGCTCCATGATTATCTTCTCCCTTAGGGAGCAATCAGGTATAAATAATCGCATACCTTTAAATAAACAACCATCGTGCATGAGATACTCACCCATAGGGTTTCGCCCATCAACACACCTTTCAAGGACCTTGCTGAAAATTGGATCAACTTTATATTGATCTTTTATCACTTCAAACCTCAACACTTCTATAGACTTCTAAGCAACACTACCCTTCTACTTAAAGCATCAGCTGTCTTATTTTGGGTTCCAGCCTTGTGCTTTAATAGGAAGGTGTATTTTTGAAGGATGGCCATCGACTTAGCATGTCGCGCATTCAACAGCTTTTGGGAACTCAAATTTTAGTATAGAACAAACTCCCTATGAATCAGATAGTGCATCCAATAGCGCAAGGCTTGCACCACTGCATAAAACTCGAGGTCATAGACCGAATACTTCTTAGGTGCCTCATTCAATTTCTCACTAAAGAAAGCTACTGGTCGCCCCTCTTGACTTAGAACTGCCCCTCTGCCAACATTTGATGCATGGTTTCAACCTCAAATACCTTAGAAAAATCTGGTAAGGCAAGTACTGGTGCTTGCATCATCTTTTGTTTAATTAGAGTGAAGTTCTTTTCAGTAGCGGGACTCCATGAAAACTTTTCAACCCTCATACATTCAGTCACCGGTGCTATTAGAGTGCTGGAATGTTTGATAAATCGGCTATGAAAGGTCGCTAGGCCATGAAAAGAATGCACCTCAGTGAGTGACTTTGGAACCAGCCAATCAGCTATGGCCTTCACCTTTTCTTCATCCACCTTAATTCCCTTAGATGAAACAACATACCCCAGAAAGACGACATTGTCTATCATGAATGAGCATTTTTTCAAATTCACAATAAGTGATTCCTTAAATAGCACATCAAAAACTTGTTCCAAGTGGTTAAGATGATCTTGTGGGTTAGCATTAAAAACCAAGATATCATCAAAATAAACCACAACAAATTTACCGATAAAAGAGCAAAGTACCTCAGTCATTAGGCCCATGAATGTGCTTGGTGCATTAGAAAGCTCGAATGGCATCACATGCCACTCATATGGTCCATCTCGAGTTTTGAATGCGGTCTTCCATTCATCCCTAGGACGAATCCAAATTTGATGGTACCCACTCCTTCAATCAATCTTTGAAAAAACCTTAGCTCCATT